TTTTGGCTTGGTTTGTTTTTAAAAAAAACATATATAAAAAAAAAAAAAAAAAAAAAAAAGCAGAAGCGGAAGCGGAAGAAGAAGCAGAAGAAGAAGGAAAAAAAACAAAAAAAACAACATGGCGTCCCATTCCGGTTGTCAGCATTATGTACGAAGCTGTTTACTAAAGGTGAGTAAAGGTTTTGAAACTTATTGTATATGTTTGCCTTATTTATATATAGAGGCACATTAGTGTTGAATTTATATTTACGGCGGGGGGTGTTATTGTTAAGGTTTTTTGGGAGCCACATCCAATTACAGCTAACATTAGCCGGTAACACGTCATATCGTTATGGAATATTGTTTTGTATATAACGTTATTATAGATGCATAACAAAAATGGACAAATACTTTTGAACGGAACTATCAAACTCAAATTTATCAGCCATACTTTCTGGTTATTTGTTACATTTACTGTATACGGTGAAAAAGATACTGAAAGTTTTGTTTTTCTTTTCTATAAACGTCCAGTGTTGTAGCAGCCAGCAAAAAAATAAAATAAAATTAAAATTGTTAAGGTTGCCATAAGGTATCACCATAGCCTGTGATATGAGTATGACTGACATGCATCAGCCCATTCGCCTTCTAATTACGTTTCTGTGTACTGCAGGCACCTTGCTGTGGTAAACTGTATGTGTGTCGGCTGTGCCATGATGCAGAGGAGAACCACCAGATGGATCGCTTCAAAGTCAGAGAGGTGCAGTGCTCTGAATGTCAAACAGTGCAACAGGTAAGCAAGAAAACCCACTGCATCTGCAATTTTCCACTCCCCTGACAGATGTGGCAGGACCACTCACTCAGTAATTTTAAATGTCACCTGTTTCTTTTCGGCCTGTACAGAGAAGAACTGTAGAAATGATAGCTTTTTTTTTTTTTAGGCACAGCAGACTTGCCAGCAGTGTCATGTGCTGTTTGGGGAGTATTACTGTGACATTTGCCACTTGTTTGACAAGGATAAGAAGCAGTACCACTGTCAGCCCTGTGGAATATGCAGGTGAGCAATGGTATTTATACACTCAGTGATAGTGCATTATTAGATACACTTGTACAATCTACTGCAATTCAATACAACAGCTCTGACATAAATTCTACCTTGCAACTTTTCAGTTTTTCTTCACATTGCTTTAAATGTGTGAATTCTATCATATTTACACTGTTACTGAAGTTATAGTTAAAGATGGTGGGCTGTTTTGTCATGCCTATTTACATAAGTAAGTGGGGCAGAATATTAGAAATATCTCTTAATACAATGCAGTCCACTACAACACCAACTGTGACCTCCATTCTAAAACATCACTAATTTGGTGGGTTTTCAAATCTTCCATATTACTGTATATATTCATAATTCAAGTTCATAATAATAATAACCACTGTTAGTAATGCCCCAGTATACTGTACCTGTATGATTCTCCTAGTGACTTGTAGCTTACTGTAAGAACACAGAATACAAAAAATACATACTTTGCCATTAATGGATTTGTTTTTGCTTCAGTACTTTGACATAACTTGAAACTTAATGCATGATCCTCTAACATTCATTGACATTTTATTGGTACATGAGGTGATTGTCATGTGTGTCAGTGGCACTATGTTTTGGTCCCCACAGGATTGGGCCCAGGGAAAGCTATTTCCATTGTGAGAAGTGCAATCTGTGTTTAGCACAGGATCTGCATGGAAACCACAAGGTGATTATTGCCCAGTGCCTTTTTCTGACCTGCACACATCACATGCATTCTGCAGTATCTTCACTGCTTTTATGACATTATTTTATCACATAGCTATTTTTATTTTTCAGTGTGTTGAAAATGTGTCAAGGCAGAACTGCCCAGTGTGTATGGAGGTAACAAACCACAAAAATTAAGGCATAATACAGAGAGGGGTGTTGGATGTTAATTCAGTCTTTCATTCTCTACAAATTGATAAGATTTCTTTTTTTATATGCAGGATATTCACACATCCAGAATCGGAGCCTGCGTTCTTCCATGCGGCCATCTTTTACACAAGTATGACTTATTATTTTCCAAATACTAGTACCTCGGGGTTGAGGGATCAAAGTGTGCATGTTTTGCTGATTGTACAAACCCCATTTCCATAAAAGTTGGGACATTTTCCAAAATGCAATAAAAGCTAAAATCTGTGATTTGTTATTTCCCATGAACCTTTATTTTACTGACAAAGGTACAAAGAAAATGTTTTCAGTGTTTTCACTGACCAACTTAATTGTATTTTGTAAATATAAACAATTTTAAAATTTGATTCCCGCAACACACTGAAAAAAGTTGGGACAGAGGCTAAGACTCTTTAAGACTGAAAAGATTAAAGAATTTTCCAGTAACACCGTTCTGAAAGATTCCAAAATTAGCAGGTTAACTGGTAACAGGAGAGGGTGTCATGAGTGGATAAAAAAAGGAGCATCCGCCAAAGGCTCAGTCCTTGTAGTCAAAGATGGGCCATGGCACCACTTTGTGCCAAACTTTGTGAGAGAATTGTCAGTCAGTTCAAAACGAACATTTCTCAAAACAAGATTGCAAACTATTTAGGTCTTTCACCATCTACAGCTCATAATATGATTTCTTGACTCAACAGGTCTGGCAGTAATCAGACCTGGGTGTGGCTGGTGAAATGAACTCAGCTTTCCAAAAAATGTGATTAACCACAGGAAAGTCATGATTTAACAAGGGGAGCAATTACTTTTTCACATGGGGCCGTGTAGGTTTGGATAGCTTTTTTTCCCTTAATTAATAAAATTATCACTTAAAAACCGCATTTTGTGTTTACTTGGGTTGTCTTGGTATAATATTTAAATTTGTTTGATGATCTAAAACATTTAAGTGCGACAAATGTGCACAAAATACTTATTCAAATACTTTTTCACAGCACTGTATGCTGTGTTTTCAGAATCATAGCATCTTCAAAATAAGAATAGAAATATAGAAAACATCATTCAGTATTTTCAACATCTGTTAGGACTTAAAGGTAACTATTAACATGTCAATTTACATTCTCTGCAGGACCTGCTTTGATGACATGGTCAGAAGAGGGTAGGTCTAATAAATCCCTTTTTTTAAACTGTTTAGTTGAATAAAATATGGCCTCATTCAAGGTTAATGTCATATTTGTTTGACATAAACATTTCAGGCTTTGCTGAAACAGGTAAGTCCTGGATCAGTCTTTGCATTTCCTGGGTGACCCTCCCACCTGTCACTCAAAGCAACCATGCCCATAATTATGCTTATCTTTAAGCCTCATTACCATTAGCCCCCACCCGGCTGTAAACATGTTTATTTGTGGTGTAAAGCTGGGCTTTTTAACATGGGAGATTGATGTACTTTTGAAGCCAGCCTCATTCAGCCATTGAAGGAACTGCAGGTTTCCGCACTTCCGCTGTGGCTTCATTTCTCAGCCTTGGAGGTTGCCGTTTGGTAACTACACTATGCAAATGTGTTCTCAGATTATCTGTGTAACCTTGTTCCTCTGAGTAACCTGCTTACTTAAATGCTGAATGATGCCTTCCTCTAAATGCCATTTTTTTCTTATCTGTTTTAGAGTGTATCGCTGCCCTCTGTGTATGCACTCTGCTCGCAACATGGAGGACGAATGGGATCAGATGGACATAGAGATCACTGAGTCACCAATGCCCACTGAATACCAGGGTGCTACTGTTAAAGTAAGACTTCAGTAAACACAACAAATGTGGGGGTTGACTTACTGGTCAGAGTCTCATTTTCAGACATGATGTGCACAGGAATTATGCATTTCATTCAGCCCGGTTAATATAGTTCAATAAAAATGGACCTTGGTGACTGTTAAGAGTAATAGTCCATTTGTTTATCACTAATTTCTTATGTTTTTCCTCACTATAGATTATATGTAATGACTGCCAAGCCCACTGCATGGTGCCTTTCCACGTGTTGGGTTTGAAGTGCAGCAGTTGTGGTTCCTACAACACGGCACAGGAAGGAGGACTCATCCAGCAGCTTCAGCAGTGGCCAGAGCAGGACGCTGACACTGACAGTGAGGCAGAAACAAACATGGAGCCAGAGCTGCAAGATCAAACCGAGTCATCCACACCACATTAGCAACCACAATAGGTGACATTTTTATATTAAACATTTGCCTAGAGCACACACACTTGTAGTAAATTATATTGCAGCCCAGCCTCACATGAAAATGCACAATGGCTATGTTGGTCCACAGGAGAAAATGTAGTAGTGTCACAACGTAGTAGTGTTGACTTACATGCAGACAAGTTTAGATCAAGTCCCGTGTGCAATGTTGTACCAGAGTGCTTTAACCTAATCCACAGGCTATACCCATGTAGTTTCTGTGCCTAAACCTAACCATGTACAAGGTATGTCAACCACTGTTTTTTGTATTCACTGCCAGAAACGACAGATGTGACATGGGCACAGGCCAATGGAAAAGATTAGGCAAATAGAAAATGGTGCCATGTTGCCATTTTTGAGCCATTATTGTGAGACTAGTACATTTTGTGTTGTGGACCAACGTGGCTATTATACACTTTGTGTGAGACTGGGTTTTGTACACTGTGTAACAGTAGATTGAGTCAATATTCCTTGATTGTACATACTACAAAAATCTATTTTCTTTGGCTGCATATACTGTTCGGGCTGGAATATGTCCTAGCATGCACTGGGTGGGATATAAGCAGTCTATCATGGGACTATATCCACACCCATCCTCACCTGTGGGCAATTTACAGTCATAATACATCTGACTGGTATGTCTTTAGACTCTGTGGAAACTCAACTGCATTGAAAGATCCCAGCTGATTGACAGATTCAGACTCAGGGCAGTCTTATAGGTGGGCACAGTGTACTGAGGGGCCTTGTGGCACTGTGATGTGACTACAGAGCAATTATGATTGTTTTCTACTTGTCTGTGCAGATTCGCAGTCATCCAGGTCATAGTAAAATGAAATAACCTTAGAAAAATCAACTGGACTTGGATTTCTAGATCAAAGACGTTTCACTTCTCATCCAAGAGGCTTCATCAGTTCTGACTGACTGGTGTTGAGCCGGAGATATTTATCCCCCTCGGTGGTGTTTCAGTCCTTTGAAGGCACGACTTAACACTCCAAGTCTGAAAATGTGTTGGGCACAGAAACATTAAGCCCAGAGCATCGTTCTACATTTGACTAAATCTCTGAATGTGGATCCCACATTTTATGATCTTCATTATCACAACTTAATGCTACAAGTGATCAAATTTGTAAAAAGTGAAATTGTATGCCAGATTTTTTTTATGAAAACACAAGACAAATGTACAAAAAGCACCATGAAAATTTAAAGCACAAGCACAGAGCTTCCAGGTCTTTACATTTTTTGTCTTTTAAACCTGTAATGTTATCTATTAGGTTTGCTCACATTGGTTTGTAAAAACTGAAATATGAACAGCTATGTCTCTAAATGAAACTAATTTAAATGGTACAAACAAATTACAGCCTTTTAACCTGCTTATTTTATAAAGCCAGCCAGGCAGATGACTGAATCATCTGAAATGTTGCTTTGGAAATATTCCTTTTTGTTATGATAAATTATTTATCATATTTCCTTCCCATGATTTAATACAGTGCTGTGATTTCTGGTGTGGCTGGTGTGTTAAATAGCCCTTAAATACCTTTTGTTACTTGTTACTGTTTTTGTTACTTGAGGGTGTCAAGGTTGTTTATTTTGAGAAAGACGGTAAAATAAACTCCCGTTAAAAAATGAAGAAAATGCTTTTTGGGCCACATGAGGATTGTTCACTGCAGTGCCATGAGTGGCTGCTGGGCAGAATTGGCTGAAAGACTGAATGGTGGCACCACGGACCTGGGCAAATGCACCAGGTGAGCAACTTTCATTGTACAGAGTGGGCACCATGTTTGAGTCCGGTATCTAGGCTTTATAATACCTCTGTGGTGTACACACTTTTTTCTAATCTCACATACATGTAGCTCAGTATTTTGTTTTATCCAGCTGCTCACATTATATTAGAAAATTCCAAAAATAGCATCTGACAGATGGTACCCAAGATGCATGGACAAAAACAAATTTTATAATTAAAATGAACAAAGCAGCCTATTGTACTGTGACCACTATAATTTTTATCACTTTTTTCACACAAAAGATTTAAATAATATGGAAGCACATTGCAGTCACTGGAAACTGGGAACCTTATCTCCATGTCTCAATTTTTAATTTATTAATTTATTTTATCGATTGATGTCATTTTGCTGTTCTTTTGACTCTGTATTTAATGTGTAGTCAAAGATGTCCGAGTGCTCTGTCTTGAATTGCTGCCTTTAACTTTTTGCATTGTTTGTGGCTTAATAATTGTAACTTGCACTAACATGAGCTGTAATGTCCTGAAATGGAAAAACCCCTGAATAACTTTGATGACTCGTGGTGGTACTATCAGAAGCTCTGAACATTGGTATCTGGTGTTATATAAAACATTAACGATTAAGAGGTCTGCGTAATACATTTGATACCATTGCCCCTCTGAAAAAGAAGGTAGTGAAACAGAGGAGGCTAGCCCCGTGGTACAGCTCGCAGCTCCACTCCCTAAAGCAGGCATCATGAAAACTGGAAAGGAGGTGGCGCTCCACTAAGTCAGAAGAGTTTTTCATAGCCTGGAAAGATAGTTTAATAACATATAAGAAAGCCCTTCATAGTGCCAGAACCGCATTTTATTCATCACTGATTGAGGAAAATAAGAACAACCCCAGGTTTCTTTTCAGCACTGTAGCCAGGCTGACAAAGAGCCACAGTGCTGTTGAGCTTAACATTCCCTTAGATCTCAGCAGCAATGACTTCAT